CTTCTCTGGTTCCCCACATTATCACTTGTTAAAAGAAGTCGGTCGAGGGCCTGCCCGGTAGTGTAGTGGTTAAGTTCACGCACTCCACTTCAGCAGTCCGGGGTTCGTAGCTTCAGATCCCGGGCTTGGACCTACACACCACTCATTAAGCCATGCTGTGGCAGGGACCCACATACAAAATAGAGGAAGACTGGCACAGATGTTAGCTCAGGGACAATCTTCCTCAAGCAAAAAGAGGAAGACTGACAACAGATGTTAGCTCAGGGCCAACCTTCCTTGCCAAAAAAAAAAAAGTTGGCCTAGAGGTGATCTGTAAGAAGGATCCTCAACTTCTTTCCCATCCCTACAGACATGATGGTTATGAGAAATCACCATCAGCAGCAGTGGCTCACCCAGCTACTCAGTGAGGCTGCCTGTTGCCTGCTCTCTCCCTTTGGGGAAATCATTGATCTAAGATTATTTTTAGCTATAAAAAGTCTATGACTCTATAGTCATCATGAGATTAAAAATAACCATCTGAAATTATGCAAACTTGAAATGCACTTTTTCTTTTGCTTCATGTAGCCTCTATTTATTGAGCACTGTGCAGGGCTCTGATACAACAGACATGGTTCCTGAATAATATGTTTTTGTGAGTTTTTTATTTAAAAAAACCATACAATTTAAAGAAAGGGTGAAGTCTACGCTATCATGACTTTTCAATACATTCCCTCCCTACCACTTTTCTTTGTCCATTTGATGAATTAATAGGAAAATCTCTACAACAAATTAAGAGTAGCATCTGACAGGCATCTCACCAAACATTAATCTCAAGCTTTCAAAGAAGGTAAGAGATCAAAACTTCAGTTTACACATGGTTTGGCTACTCCAAGATTCTAGGCTATTGTTGGGTTTATTGATTACCTGCAAAAACATTTGAGGGTAAGACAGCTCGCTAAGATAAAGGGGCATCTACAAGGACAGAATGTGTCGGCATCTCTTTGATCACACTTAACGGATCTAGCTATTACATTTTATTTGCATAGGTTGAACAATTAATATCTACAACATCAACTATTTAATTTTGGACAAATTTTTAAGTTTCACCAGCAAAATTAAACCAGTATTTAATTTTGAACATATAGTATAAATCTCTCTTCCCTAAATTTTAAACCCTTTCCCCTGCTTTTAGGAAACATAATTGTATAATTTAAACTCCTTCAGTACTGTGACCTAGTTCCCCCTCTTGATGTTATAAACGGCTCATGTAACTATGGTAACCATCCAGGGAAAACTGAATGTTTTTCTGGTCAGCAATATGCAAAGTATACCATATGTGTTATTTTTTCTCTTTGGGATAACTAAAGTGGATAATATGTGTTTGCTTTTCTTCTTGGTTATGAGAATGATATATTATACTGAATTTTCTCTTGACTACAGTCCTAGTCATTCACCGTCTCTCCATTAAAATGTTTTAGGATCATCTTTCACTGTCAGTAGTCATTCTAAATGCTGAACAGTACTATAATCCATAGTAGGATGTACTGTATACACCAATTTTAAATCTGTGCTGTCTACCTCATAAACTAAATGTCCAGGATCACATTGCTCAGATTTCTAACATTCCACCTCGAGAATCTGGTATTTTCTTAACTTTGTTCTTTAGTCCTAGCCAAAGTGTTTCTTTAAAGCAAAAAACTAAAATGGAATTACATCTTGGGGGTATACTTAGATACTGAGTAGAGTTATCTCCAGTTTGTAGTGATTTTTATATATCTTCTTTTTAGTTCTATTTTTTGTTTTTTTCTACAATTAGTGTATATTCCTTATGCAATAAAGAAATTAAAAATGCTTTAAATAGGGCTCAGTGGAGATGCAGACTGTATTTTTTTAGTCGCCTATTGTACTAATGAACTGATTTAAAGTTTTAGGTTTTTTCAGTACAATTTAAAATGCTTCACTGGACCTTCTAGAACAAATTATACTTAAATTAATAAAAACTCCTAGATTTTTAAGGATTTATTTGCATTAGGTACAATTACATTTCTACAACTGGTGACCTCTTAATACGAAGATTTTGTTTAAAGTGACTTTCTTGAATTTCCCTATAGTTTTAACAGTGTTTTCTGGCCATCCAAATATCTGCCTTAGGAAAACATTGCTATCTGCTTCACTGAATTAAATAGGGAATTAACTGCCTCTTACTGGTTTAGAAAACACCTCACTAACCAAATGCAAATTGTGGAACTTGTCTGGATCCTGTTGAATAAACCAAGTGTAAAAAGGTATTAATGAGACAATATGGAAATTTGAATTGCCTAATATTAAGTGATACTAAGATAATTTTTTGATAGGATAATGGTATTGTGGATATGTTTTAAAAAATTATCTCTTATCTGTTCATATTTAACATATTTATAGATAAAAGGATAATCTAGCAAGGGTAAGGGAGTGTGGAGGGTTATAGATGAAATAATATTGCCCATATAGTATTGATAAATGTTCAAGCTGGGTGAATGGTATATTAGGATTTATTGTACTATTACCTCTACTTTTGTGTGTGTTTGAAAATTTCCATAATAAAAAGTTTTAAAAAATATTTAAAAGTAGAAAAAACGATTTCAAATTTAATTGGCCTGACTCAGAGCAGTAGCTGAATTTTCTCAGGAGGGATCTTTAGGAATCCTGCAGAACTACTTGCTAGTTTGTTCTTAACCTGAGTTTGAAGTTATTGCTCTCCCCTCTCACAGTATAAGGGTACCAGACAAAGGTTTAGAGGCATAAATATTTCCTACCCGGGACTTTTTAAAGTAACTGACTTAGAAATTAAAGGCAATCCCAGATACTTCTTCTAATTTGGGGGTGTCAGTTACTTATCTTTTTTAGGGTTCCTTTATGGTAAAAAATACAATGAAGAGCAAATAAGATGCCTTTTTGCTTTATTCACAGGATTAAATATCACCAATTAACTTCTATGTTGCAGAGAATTGGGGACTTTTAAATACTGCATTTAGCAGAGTAAAGGAACCCAATTTGAAAAGGCCCCAAATTTCCAGTTAAGTGATTACTGAAGAAAAGGACATGATAAACAATCAAGGTCAAGTGTTGAGTTTGAAGGCGCTGGCCCCCCGGCCTAGTGGTTAAGTTCACTTAGGCAGCCTGGGTTCAGATCCCCATTGCGGACCTATACCACTCATCAGCAATGCTGTGGCGGTGACCCACATACAAAAAGAGTTGAATTTGGGGAATATGGTGATTTTTTTTCCTAAGTACTCTCCCTACGCAGTTTGCTTTCACAAGTATGGCAGGAATAAGTCTTTGACTTACTTTTATAAATTAATACAGCAAGAAAAGCCCATGTCTGAAATAATTCACACACACACGACTATTAAAGTGTTCTTTATCAGTTTAGACCAACACAAGCCGAAAAATCATTATTTGTATTTTTTGCTTCCTTTCTGCCTATTCAACACAATTATAAAAGGTGAAAATAATGCTATAAAAGGTTTCTGTTTGTACTCATCCTTCCTTCCTCTCTTCTTGCTCTAGGTTCCTGGAGAGAGTACTCTAGGTATTCTGCATCACAGCCTTTTCTCACTTCTAGTGTTTAACCGCGTCAGACCTGCCTGCAGATCACTTCTCAGGCTGAATAAAACCCATAGGTGCATTCAGTGTCTGACCTGAATCAACAAATAACAAGGCATCTTGTATTATTTTGGGCCTTCAATAAAGACAAGCTGATGCAAATCTATGAGTAAACAAAAATAGTAGGGTTCAGGTAAAAAGCAATAAAATTCAATTCTGAACAGTGTGACTGGTTTTTGATAAGACCTGGCTGCTTAATCTGAAAGATATAAAGAACGACAATAAAATCCCTAGGCGGTTCTCAGAAATACAATACACGGCACTGCCTGGGTTGACTTAATATTCAAGCGGTCAAAACCTCAGTGTCACAGAATAACAACCCAAGACAATCTCCGCGTCCTGTGCAACATTTTTTTTTTTTGTTCCCAAAACGTGTAATTTCCTAAAGTGCTTTGTTTGGGTTTGAAATGTAAAATTTCCTCTAGCTCAAGGTCTAGATTTCTCTTGCACGTCAATGGTCACTTACTATTAACAGCTGTTTCAAAAGTGCTCTAAATGGGTCACCCTACAGGTGTACCACCGCTGCACACAAACTGGACATGAGGAAATCCCAATTTATCATCTACACACCTTTTCTTTTTAACTGAAAGGTACTGCTCACAATCGCGTCTGCTTACATAGGCACTCTCTAAAATTTTCCGTGTATTCGTTCTATTTACTCCCATTTCTTTCAAAAACACACGTTATTATAAACACTGAGAGTCCACCTGGAATTAAAATGAGCTCTTCTGCTTGGCATTTCATTTAACACTACACAGAACTTAAACCCTGGCCGTGGTAGCGCAGGTAAGGCCATGGCCTGATTCCTGATGACGTTTCTACTCGGGTCTCCAAGACCTTCTTCCTCCAGGCGCCCGTGTTTTTTAGACTTGGGGTAAAAAGAGATGGAAAGGTGGTGGTAAGCCGCCGGTAAACCCTCGTCGACCTTTAATGCTTAAACGTTCTGATCCCGGGAAAAGACATTTTTTAAAACATCCTCTGTTGGACAAACACGTTTCCGGGGCGGACTGCCTGAACTGACCCTGGACTGCTGAAGGGCCGGAGGTGAACAGAACCTGCACGGCCCTTCGGCGCCCGAGACCCCGGCGCCTGCGGAAGGGCGGAAGCGCGCTGAAGCCGGGAAGGAGATTTAAAAGGCGGGCTGACTAAAGGAAAAGGAAAACGCAGGGAGCCCGTGGGAGCACCGCCTACCTCCGCGATCGGCCCCCCGGTGCTTCGTGAGCCCGAAGGCCGCGGCGGGAGGAAGGACCCGGCCTGAGGGCAGCGCCCAGGCGGCAGCCGGCTAGCCGGGGCGGACCGGCGGGAACCTGGCCGCCGCGCATGCCGGGAGCGCGCCCGCTGCACGCTGGGAGTCGTAGTTCCCGCAGGCCTCCCTCCGAGCGATAGCGAAAGGCGGCCGCCTGCTGCTCCTTTTAAGGCTCGCGAGAGGCCGCGCCAGATCCACCTCATGGGTAAAACGTCAGTAACACCGGGCCGAGGGAGCTGCGCCGAGTTCCCCCTCCCTGTGGGAAGGACGGAAGGGAGGAATCCGCCACCTGCCCTCTCAAGTCCCATTCAGTCAATGAGCAAAGAGGCGGGCTCGGCAGTGCTTCCTCTTTAAGGGGGGGCGGGGCGCAGCCTGCCGTTTGGCCGCCCTCCGCCCCCACCCCTCGGGCCGAGAGTTGACAGACCAATCGCCCGGGTGGCGGAGGGAAGGCGGGAGAATGCGAACCCTTCGGTAGGGCGGTAGGGGCGGGCCCCCGGCCTTATTAGGAGTGCGTCCTGCGCAGGCGCAGAGGCGGCCGCAGGCGGAGGGGCGGGGGCAGTCCAGTGAGAGACTCTCCGACAAGCACGGAGGGTGATTGGGAGGAAAGGGGGCAGCGAGGGGCTTGTCATGGGGATCCGAGCTGCGCGGCGGCACTGGTAGCATCTGGGGACTCCGAGGGGGACAGGAAGTGTCAGCGCCCAGGACCCCGGCGGCGGCTCCGCCGGGGGATCCCCGCTACTCCAGCCCTGGGGAGGGAGGGGAAAAAGGAGGGAGCCCTGATCTCGCCCCGCCCCTGGGCTTGTTCCCGCGGGGGCGGGGAGTGAGGGCTTTTTTTGGGGGGAGTGGAGATCGGGGGACTCGGCTGTGCCTTCTCGAGCGGCTGCCGGTGTCCCCGCGGCGCCGGGCCGCCGAGCAGAGGAGCCGCGGCGGCCGCGGCTGGTGCATGTGTGGCCGCTGGATGCGGAGGCGGCGGCGGCGGCGGCGCGGAGCAGCAGCGGCGGCGGCGGCAGGATGTTAGGGCAGCAGCAGCAGCAACTCTACTCGTCGGCCGCGCTCCTGACCGGGGAGCGGAGCCGGCTGCTCACCTGCTACGTGCAGGACTACCTCGAGTGCGTGGAGTCGCTGCCCCACGACATGCAGAGGAACGTGTCCGTGCTGCGGGAGCTGGACAACAAATATCAAGGTGGGGGGCCGCGGGGCTGCGGTGCGGGGCTCCCCCCGGCTCGGATCCGGAGCCTGCCCGGGGTGGTGGCACTTTCCATTTCTCCCGTGACAGTCTTCCCGGGCGCACACAGGAGGTCTGGGGTGTGGGACGGGGCAGGGGGACTGGAGCTCGGCTTCGCGGCCCTCCCTTCCTTCGCGGCAGTCGGCCAGGACTTCGGCGGGGTCTCCAGGGTGGGAGTGGGGGCCGCTCGTCAGCCCCCGCTGCAGAGCCGGCGGCTGCAGCTCGGGTGGAGGGGAATCAGCCATTTTAAGCAGCATTTGTGCCGGCGCTCGCCTGCCCCGCGCCGCAGAGCCTCCTGCCCCGGCGAGGAGCGTGCAGTCGGGCGCGGGGCTGGAAAGAGTGAGCGGCCGGCCAGGCCAGGCTCTCCCCACCCCGCTCCGGCCCCCACCCGCTGAGAGCAGATGCATTGGAACGTGCGGGGGGGAGGGGGCGAGAGGGCCGCGAAGGCGGATCCGGGCAGGTCCCTCCCTCCGCTGCCGGCTCCCGGCTCCCGGCGCCCGGCTCGGGAGTAGGGAGTCCGTTCCCCTCTCCCGCCCCAGGCAAAGTTCCGGGCCGCAGCCCTTTCCCAGCTCCTTCAGCCGGGTGGTTCAAAGGGGAGGGGTCCCCGCGGGGAGAGGAAGAGGGGGGTGTGTGTGTGGCGGGGAGGGCCCCCGGCCCTGGGGGCGGGACCTGTGGCGTGACGTAACGTGGGCGGGGCGCGGACGCGTGCGCTCCCGCCCGCCTGGAAAATGGCTGGTGTCAGGAAGGCTCGGGCGGAGCTATCTGGTGGGGAGGGTTCGGAGCCCTAGGTGACGTTCCTTCGTCCCCAGCTCAGTCAGCGTTGGGGGTTGGGACACGTTTGTTGTGATTTTTCGACTCCTTCCCAACCACTCAATCACGACGAGGACACAGTCCGCTCCGGGGACCGGCGCTGACCCTGGCCCCGCGTAGGTTCCGGTCTTTGCGTCACTTCCGGGCCCCAGGAGGAAGTAGGTGGTTGACTGGGCAACCGCCTGGCGTCCCTTAACCCCTGGGTCCCTCCTCAGACAAGTTTAAGTGTTGAGGCAAAAACCGCTGTTTGTGGGCAGACCCGAGAAGCTAGGATAGGGAATCGACCTTTCTTACAGAGTATCGTTTATCATCCACTGTTGACCTTTCGCCTGCTCCTGGGAGGGGAGAAGTTTAAATGGGGAGCCGTTTTGCGTTTAATTATCCTGAATCAAGGAACAGACCTTGGACATGATGTGAAAACAGCCCTGTGGACTTGAAGGAGATAACTTCTTGGACACAGTCTCTGTTTTTCTAGATGTGTCACTAATGTTATGATTTAGTCTCAAAGGAACCCCTTCTGGGGTGACATTTTCTGGCCTGCAGCATGTTAGAACATTTAAATGTCTCTATGCTTTCGAACCTATAGTTCATTTCTGCCTTCTGAACCCATATGATTGATAGGATAGGATCTCTCTTACCGGGGAAGAGAATTAATACTGATTACTTACTGTGTGTCAATTGTTGTGCCAGGTCCAGAACATTCTCATTTAATGCTCGCGATAACCCCATGAAGTAAACATTCATTTTACAGATAAATTAAAATTTACAAGGAGTTTAAATAACTTGTCCAATTAATTAGGTGGGGAATATTTGACCTTACAGCCTGGCTACTTCAGGTGCACATTCTTGTTTTTAAACTATTTTAACTTTTTTGTTTTTTTTAAATAAAAGCCCTCTAAAGGTGTTTTCTACAGACACGGAGCACGTACATGAATTGTAACCTAAAAATGATAGGTATGTGCTTAAGAATTGTATATTGAACATTTTTAGTTTTTCAAATAATAATACCTCTGAAGTTTGTGAAGCTTGCAGGCTTTCGCGTTTCTTTTAAGACACATATTTGCCTTCGTGGAAGCTAGTTTCTTTCCTTTGTTTTGGGGATCGACAATTTGTTACAGGGAAATCTGCCATCTTGACCATCTAGAATTGTCACACGAGAAACAGTATAAGGCCTTAAAAGATTGAGAGATGATAAAAAATCTCACCTCCATTAAGATTGTGGTTAGTTTCAAGATTAATATAAAAACAACGGTCTAGTTTTCACTCCATGCACATGTTTACTAATCTCGTTTTATGTTTTTAAGTTTGAAGTTTACTTTTCACAGTTTTATGTTTATTAGCTTTATATACTTGTGCATTCTTGGTTCAGATTTCATATGTTTTTTATTTCTTTGCTATTGAGTATTTTCTGTTTTTGGATCTAATAGTTAGCAATATTTAGTGATATAAATTATATAGACAGTCAAAGAAATTTTTCTCCTATCTGAGACACTTTCAGAAATTGCTGAAGAGCCTGAAAAGTAACCTTAAAATTTTTTAAAAATAGAGAAATGAAGAAAAGAATTTCACAATTGAATGAAGTATTTATTATGGGATATGGTTATTAGAGAATTTCAGTTTTTCTCCCACTATTCGTGTTCATAATTTCTTGAGTAAATAACCTTTGAACTAAAATTTAATACTTAATTTCAAGTGCCTTCCATGCATCTTAGTAGAAAGTGCTTTAATGGTGGAACCAGACATAGAGATCTAGCAGAGTAGAAGTCTGGGGTTGTTACCTCTGGAGCTTCATTTTGTTCACATTTAGAGTGATGGCTCCCTCATAGGGTTGCTGTGGGGATTAAATGAGAAAATCTTTTTCACATAGAAGGGGCTCAGTAAGTGTTAGTTTACTCTCTTGTTTCACTACATAATTAAGGTGTCTTAAAAATGTGAATTTTATGTGTATGGTGATGAATGGTAATTAGTCTTTGGTGAACATGATGTAATCTACACAGAAATCGAAATATAGTGGTGTACACCTGAAATTTATATAATGTTATAAATCAGTGTTACCTCAATAAAATAAATAAGTAAAACAAAAAAAATGTGAATTTTTACTTCACGTATAGTATTAATATGCTGGTGTGATATAATTAGCTTCTAACTCCTGATTATTAGATACAGAATATTCGAAATAAGATTTATCTTTATTTATTTATTTTTGCTGAGGAAGATTCGCCTTGAGCCAACCTCTGTGCCAGTCTTCCTCTATTTTGTATGTGGGTTGCTGCCACAGCATGGCTATGGATGAGTGGGTGGTGTAGGCCCCGGCCCAGGATCCGAATCTGTGAACCCAGCTGCCGAAACAGAGCAAGCTGAACTTAACCGCTATGCCACTGAGCTGGTCCCGATTTATCTTTATTTATTTTTTTTGTGGGAGAGATCAGCCCTGAGCTAACATCCGTGCTAATCCTCCTCTTTTTGCTGAGGAAAACCAGCTCTGAGCTAACGTCTATTGCCAATCCTCTTCCTTTTCTTCTTCCCCAAAGCCCCAGTAGATAGTTGTATGTCATAGTTGTACATCCTTCGAGTTGCTGTATGTGGGATGCAGCCTCAGCACGGCCGGAGAAGCGGTGCATCGGTGCGCGCCCGAGATTCAAACCCGAGCCGCCAGTAGCAGAACGCACGCACTTAACTGCTAAGCCACAGGGCCGGCCTATCTTTATTTTTTTAACCCTCAAGTTTTGTGTGTCTGAGGGGAAAATATATAATTTCCTTATTTTTCCTGGAGGAAAATTGGGTTCTTGAGAAATCCACTTACCTACCTAGCTGGGCAAATGGGCTCAATACGAACTTTGTTTAAAATTACACTCTGCAGGTATGACTGCCCTCAAATGTGTGGTGGCACTTTGTCATGTATCTTAGGTTAAATAGTTGTTCATCAAGTGGGTGTACCTATAATTTCCAGGGAGGAGCTAATTCCTAAGAGTTGTGTTGAATACTTGCTTTGTGTTACCTTACTTGCAGACAGTGCCAATGTATGTATTTTACTTGTCTAACGTTTCAGTTCTTATCATTGGAGTAATAATATTGGAAGATAAAACAATGGTATGCCGTGTGGTGTGATAAATTAGAGTTCATTTTTGTTTCTCCACCTTTAGTAAGAACTCTTTCAGATAGCATTATATCTCTTAAAGAAATAGAATAGATTCAAATCAAAAACTAATCTTATGTAAATTTTTGGTGACATCTGGAACTATATTTTCAGATTTTTGTATACCTTCTAGTGACTCAGCCATTTTTAGTTGATTTAAATGTGTCTCACATGCTATACAATACCTAAATCAGCAGTTCAAAAAGCTTAGAACCAACTGCTGAGTTATCTACAAAAGCACAGTGATCCAGTGCTGACTTTACTGTAATTTTGTTAGTAGCCAGTTGATGCCAGAACCTGGACCTAAACCTACTCTGAAAATAGTTTGCTTTTCAGAATCTCCCATGTGATAAAATAAAGAACTATTAACGCTAATATTACGGGAAGCTAGGAATTACTTGTGTCTGCTTTGTTTAAGAATGTCCAGAGATGTGATATGAAAGTGAAGGTATAGTGTCTCCCTGGAGTCATGTAGCAAGTCGTTGATTGAACTGTAAATTCTGTAAACACACTTGAACAGTAATCTATAGCCTAGTCCTGGAACCTCTTTAAGTTTTACAGCTGGAGTCCAGCATGTAAATTTTAGATACAGGGTTGTTTTGAGGTTCAAATGAAGTATAGGCGATGTGGTGCTAGATAAATTCTAAAGTGATATACGGTGTTCTTGCCCATGTAAAATAGTTTTGATTATTAATTAGCCACACATCTCTTAGCCTTCTTTTGAAAAATTTATTTTGTTTTTTATTTTTAAATAGATGATGGTGGATATCAAATGAGTGGTGTGTAGGTCTGCGCCTGGGATTCGAACTCGTAAACCCTGGGCCGCCAAAGGGGAGCATGCAAACTTAACCGCTACGCCACCGGGCCAGCTCCTCTTATCCTTTTTAATATAGATTAATGAGTATTAGAGAGTTTTGTGGTTTTTATTTATTTATTTATAAATATACTTTCATATTGGATGACATATGGTCTTGGTATGGGAAATAATATTTTTTAACATATACATACTATAGAGGAGTGTAGTTTTGTTTTTTTTTTAATTTTTTATTTATTTATTTTTCCCCCAAAGCCCCAGTAGATAGTTGTATGTCATAGTGGCACATCCTTCTAGTTGCTGTATGTGGGACGTGGCCTCAGCATGGCCGGAGAAGCAGTGCGTCGGTGCGCGCCCGGGATCCGAACCCGGGCCGCCAGCAGCGGAGTGTGCGCATTTAACCGCTAAGCCACGTGGCCGGCCCCTAGAGGAGTGTAGTTTTATAGTTTGAGTTTGTTCTGACTTTTCCAATTCTGTGGAAGATAACTAACTTGAAAAATGTTATATGTGCTAATGCACAATAATGTTGATTTTTCTTTTCCTTTTTTAGAAACATTAAAGGAAATTGATGATGTCTATGAAAAATATAAGAAAGAAGATGATTCAAACCAGAAAAAACGCCTACAGCAGCATCTCCAGAGAGCATTAATCAATAGTCAAGAATTGGGAGATGAAAAAATTCAAATTGTCACACAAATGCTCGAATTGGTGGAAAATCGGGCAAGACAAATGGAATTACATTCACAGTGTTTTCAAGATCCTGCTGAAAGTGAACGAGGCTCAGATAAAGCAAAGATGGATTCCAGCCAACCAGAAAGATCTTCAAGAAGACCCCGCAGACAGCGAACCAGTGAAAGCCGTGATTTGTGTCACATGACGAATGGGATTGAAGACTGTGATGATCAGCCACCTAAAGAAAAGAAATCCAAGTCAGCCAAGAAAAAGAAACGCTCCAAGGCCAAGCAGGAGAGGGAAGCTTCCCCTGTGGAGTTTGCAATAGATCCCAATGAACCTACATACTGTCTATGTAACCAAGTGTCTTACGGGGAAATGATCGGATGTGACAATGAACAGTGTCCCATTGAATGGTTTCACTTTTCATGTGTTTCACTTACCTATAAACCAAAGGGCAAGTGGTATTGCCCAAAGTGTAGGGGAGATAATGAGAAAACAATGGACAAAAGTACTGAAAAGACAAAAAAGGATAGAAGATCGAGGTAGTACAGGCCATCCACATTTTAAAGGTTTATTTGTCTTTTATATAATTCTTTCAGAATTTACTTTCAGAAAATGTTTTAGGGTAAATGCATAAGACTATGCAATAATTTTTAATCATTAGTATTAATGGTGTATTAAAAGTTGTTGTACTTTGTCTGTGACCTTTTCTGCACTGAATTACCAAATATTTTAAACCAGGTAGTCTTTAGATCACCTGAAGAAAGGAGCAGGGAAGAGGGAGGGGGTGGTGTGAACATTATAAAAACTTCACAAACCATGCCTATTTCAATTTCACTGAAAACTGCAATGCTATTTTTGGGTAAACACCAAAGTTTTGCTAGCATTTTAGTTCTACGTGCTTAAAAAAAAATTTAGATATAGTTGGAGTTCTCTGTAAGCATTCAAATTATCTTGGGTAATTTAAAATATGAACACTATACCATTTAGAGCTTCTTTCTCCCTAGCCCCATTTATACATATATTTGTTAATCTCTAGTCTTCCAAGAAGTTGAGGAACTAGAGATAAGAATAATTTGGGATTCCATGTGGAATAATGTGCTCTTATTAGAGTATTTGCTGCTGTATTTTCCTTAGTAGCATTTTGATACACTGTCAGTAGCCCATTTGTAAATGCCTTGCTGCTGCTTCATAGATAGATTGAAGCTAGTGCTTAATAGGAGAGTTGTGTTTTGTTTAGTTTTAACTGGGACAGGTAGGAGTAGTTGGAATACCAAAAACACCGCCATTGGCTTATATTGACAAAATTTGGGTTGTGTAGTATCATGGTTCAAGGTTAAGCAATTTAAAAAATGCATCTGATTTAATAATATTTTCCACATGACCCACTCCTGGGCTGCCTAGCCATGGGCCTATCAGTGGGAAAGGGCATATACTAGTCTTTAAATATTGCCTTTTTGTCAAACAGTAGTTTAAATAGTTTTGCTAGTGGCTGTAGTTCATTTCTGTCCCAATCAGTGATTATATATTATTTTAAGTAATAGTGTATTTACTTTCTTAACTTTCTGGTGTTGGTGCTGTTTGATGTTTTCACGTTTAATGAACTAATTTCATTATAACAATGCAATTAATAATGTATTTGTAAACTGAATTTTCCAAGATTCTAATATTTTAAGGGTAAGCATCTTGATGGATATATGTCCATATATTCAGAGAATTTTTTGGTTTTGGGGAGGGGGCAGCAGATTGACTAGTCCTTTAAATCTATGTGTAACATACTTTTTATGCCTCATTTCTTCCTAATCTGATGATCTTGATTCTTTTTGATTAACGTGAAAAATCCTGTCTGTTGGTTTGGAAAAAAAAATTGTTTTTTTCTCTTCTAGCACTCCTGTGTGACTTTCAGGCATGTTATTTCACCTCATCCAGGTGTCAGGTTACTCATCTGTAATGTGAGGTTGGCTTAATGATCTCTGAGGTTCTTTTGAAATCTGTATTATTTGCACTATAGTGAGGATTTTAATAATCAAATGACTTGTTTTTCTCTCTCATTAATTTTGTCCTTTATTCTGAGGTATGAAGACAGTTAAAAGGTGAGCTTAGGGACAGGTAAATGCACAGTATTTGATTAGCTTCTGTCCTAAGGATATTTTGATTGATGACTGGAACCAGTTGGTTATATTACTTCTTGAGTGAGAAATATTAGACAGCATGATTAAGAATTTACTTTACTGTAACTTAGTCGAGTTGTAAAGAAATCCTTTTCTCTCTTGAGAATATAGCATTGTGTCTTAGTGATTACAACCTTATTACCAGGATAGAGTTATTTACCAGACACCATTAAAAATACCGGTATGTGCAAAGCCCCCAAAAGCTTTCAGATGTGACTTAGATAGAAGTCAACACTTTTCCCTACATAAGTTTGCTTCAGCATATGGGGAAAAGAATAAACTTCGTAGTAGAAGTACCCAAATTTGGATTAAGCTTGATAGGAAAACAAATGTGGAAAATCCTGGAAGATGTGCTCTTTAAGACCTAACGTTGGAAACAGTTTTATTTTTATGAATTTCTTTTTGTTTTCTATACCACAGAGGAAATAGAAGTTTTACGTTTGCTAACACTATGACTGGGATTTCTTTTTTTAAGTATTATGGATTTCATATACTATATACCAATGGTTCCCAAATTTATCTCACGTTGGAATTACCTCAAGAGCTTCAAAATATGCAGATACCTGTTTCCCACCCCCAGCAATTGTGATCTAATTCATTTGGAATGCAGCTTAAGCATTAGAATTTTTAAAAGATCCCCAGGCGATTCTAATATACAGAAAAGTTTTAGAATCACTGCCACATTATGAAAATTCGAACTTATTGAAAACTGTGGGTGGGTTCTCTACATCCAGATCAGTGTGACTCTGAAACACATTAAGTGCTGATACATACATGAGAGTTGGTCCCGTGCCCCCAACAGTTCCACCAACACGGCTTGAAGACTCAATACTTGAGTAGCTTCTTGTGTGCTAGGCACTGTTCTAAGCAGTGGTGGTTTAAAAAGAAGAAAAATCCCTGCTTGTGGACCCTACATTCTAGTGCAGGAGTCAGATATATATAATGTCAGGTAACTGTGTTAGATGCTAACAGGAAAGGAAAGCAGAGTAAGGAGACAGAAAATGCACGGAAACGGAGGTGAGTCTTAATCATGGTGATTAAAGAAGGTCTTTCTAAGGAAGTGATCTTTGAGCTGAGACCAGAAGGAAATAAGAAAGTGAGGCAGGCAAAGATTTAGGGGAGGGAGGAGTAGAACAAGTTTGTCAATTTGACTAGAGCATTTGACACAGTGTGGGAGGGGCTAGAAAATGGCTCTTGGAAGCCATGGTAGAAAACTTGGGAAGGGTTTATATTCTTTCAAGATTGCTCTGGATGCTGCGTGCAAATTTTATTGTAGGGAGCCTTGGTGAAAATAGGGAGATTGAGGAGACTCTTCCAGAAGTCTTTGCCCCCAAAATATTGGTGGCTTATACTAGGGGGGTAGCAGTGGAAGTGGTGGTGAATGATAGGATTCTCGCTGTGTTTTAAAGATACTGCCAATAGGAGGACTTTGGCCCAGGAGTTGGAAGGCAAAGAGATGAGAAGGATGACTCTTAGATTTCTGGCTTGAGGGAAAAAATCAGGATTTCTGTTTACACTTAGGTGTGAGATGCCTGATAGATTTCTAGTGGGATCCAGCATGGAGGTGGGGGGCTGAAGGTGGGGGAGGGTTCAGGAGATAAACATTTGGGAGTTACCCTATGAATGGAGTTTAAAGTCATGTGGTGGAAAGCACACAGGTAAATAGATCATTGCTTCAGTGCTTCTCAGATTTTAATATGCATGTGAGTCACCTGATTGTGTTAACATGCAGATTCTGATTCAGTAGGTCTGCTATGGGGCCTGAGATGCCACATTTCTAGCAAGCTCCTCAGTGATCCTGATCCTGCGGGTTCAGGGACCCACGTTTTGAGGAGCAACCATGTAGATCCAGAAGAGGGAGGGCCGGGCCTTGGTGGTACTCCATTTAAAAGGAGGCGGAGCCAGCAATGGAAACTTCCAAGATCTCTCAGTGTAATAAACCAGGAAAAATGTGACACACCAAAAACAAAAGTGAAGAAAAGAAGGGATTGCTCACTCATTCAAGTGCTGTTCAAGTGAGATGAAGACTGCAAATTAACCATTAGAGTGGGGGCGGGGTGTTCAATTTAACAGGCTGCAAGTTTTGAGGATGAAGGACTGTTTGGAGTGGATTGGAAGCAGAAGGAGATTGAAGTAGAGTCAACAACTATGGACAACTCAAGTTTTGATGAAAAGGGAAACAGAAATGGGATGTAGCTGACAGGTGAGCTAAGGGAGGACTTTAACTTTTAAGGAGATAAAGTGGCATGATTATATGCTGATTGGAATATTCCATCAGGAGGGGACAGATGAATGCTGTAGGGACAAGTGGATTATTGCAGGAGTGAAATCTGAATAGGCAGCAAGAAGAGAGAGCTGGGACTCGTGAGGGATTAGTCTCAAGGAGGCACAGGGACAGTTCCTGTTCATGTGTCAAAAGGGAAGGCAGTTATTTTTACTCATTCAAGTGTTTATTGCGCACCTATTATTTACGAGGCACTGTTTTAGGTACTGATAATAAAGCAGTGACCAAAACAAGACAAAAGTCTGTAACCTAGTGGTGCTTCGGTTCTGGAGTGAATGGGTGTAGATGCAGATAGCTCGCTAAATTTGGCATTGGGGAAATGAGATCATTCTCTTCTAATAGCTTCCACTCTCCCGTTGAAGGGCTGAGACGGGGAAGGATGTTGGCAGTCTGTGGGAGTCAGTGAGAGGTGTGTGTGAACTCCTCCTGGGAAGAGTGGGACAGTGAATGGACTAGGAAGGCCAGTCAGAACTGGGGGTCAGCTGGAGTCTTGGGTCCTAACTTCAGATGGGCTGCTAACTCATTCTGTTCCCTGGATGCAGGCGTGAAAAAAGAGATATACAAAATAAAAATTTCAAAATCTCTTCACACTAAGCTAGAAAAATTGCAGCTTCCCCGCCCTTTTTATATACACAGTAGGTGGCTTCCTCTGAGGGAGCTGTTCGCTATCCCCCCACCTGAAATGGAGAGGAGCCGTATTCAAGGAGCAGATGGCATAAATGGGCTAGACAGCTCTTTAGCCCTTCTTGAATGAAGTCCTTAGAGTTTGATGTCATTCAAAATCTATTTTAAGGGAAGTATAAGTTATCTTGGAATTACCTTTACTACATTACCTAAACTCTATACATCAGTTAGAGAAGCCAAAACTCATCATATCCTAAATGTGGGAGCAGCCTTCTGGACCATGATGCCAGAGATGTCGACTTCTCTGTGATCTCAGATCACTTGTCCTCCTTGGCCTGTAGTTTGCTCGGCTGTAAAACAAGTGATTTAAGATATTGTGATCCTAAAAATGTGGTTATTGTTCGTGTCCCTTAACATTAGTCAGAGGAAAGAGTTCTGCTGGTCACAGAATTACTATTTGGGTAGTTTATAAAATAACTTTTGATTCATGTATGTGATAACTAGACTTTAAAGCCGAGTTTTCTAAACTTCGGACACTGGAATGATCTTGATGGATTTTTATCATTTCCACATACCATTCTAAATTTATATTTAAAAGTATTATTTATTCAATACTTT